AACAGTAGTCAGCACCCCTGAAATCAATTCTACAACACCTAGTGATAAGAATAAGGAGTCAGCCAAGAAAAAACCAGAGCCACAACCAGTTTCACAAAAATCCAAATCCAAGAAAAAGAATGATAAAGCCAAAGCTGCCCAGGAAGTAAAGCCGCTCGTGGAAACACCAAAACTAGAGAAGGAGGAAAAGAGTGAACAAGAGAAACTTGATGAAGAGTTGGCTAAAAAGCTTCAAAGAGAATTTGAGTTGGAATATTTGAGAAATTTGGACACTTCTTCCAAATCCAAAAATAATTCGTTTACAACCTCATCTTCTGGTAAGAAGAAGAAAGTCCTCGAGGAAATTCCAGACAAGATACCATTAGCATCTTCATCAAACTCTTTCAGTGTGCTTGAGAGTGTTCCTGCAGAAATTCAATCAAGTGAAAAGACTACCAAAAAACAAACCCAAACACAACCAGTTTCTTCCAAAAATTCCAAGAAAAATAAGAACAAGAAGAAGAATGAACCAACACCACAACCTAAAAAGGAAGAGAAGGAAAAACCTGAACCTGAGAAAGTGGAAAAGGTTGAAACCAAAACTAAAACTGAAGCTAAAGAGGAGGGTTATAACAAACCTTGTAGAGATCACTTTAAAGGAAAGTGTAAATTTGGATCTGGAATTTGCCCATACTCACACGACAGATCATTCTATATCAAGTATCAACAGGAACATCCTGACGAATTTCCTCCACTCACCACACCAAAGAGCAAAAAGAAGGAAGTTGTAGAAATTATTCCTGAACCTCAAGCTCCTCAAAAAAAGACCGAGGTTTGCATGAAGCACAGTTCTATTCAATCATGTGGTAATGGAAAGAATTGTAAATTCCTTCACTTGTCGGACATGTCCCTTCATGATCTTTATAGAAAATGCTGTACTGGACATTCTGATAGAATTTGCAAGTGTGCTCCTCAAAATGATCTTCCAATTCTCTACATTGAAGGAGTTACCAAGCTCACAAAGAAGCAAATGCAAGAGGTTAATGAGAAATCTTTTATGAAAGCATTGGGTGTTTTTAAAATGACTGAACAAGCATTGTATCAACATCTCCCTGAGATCAAGTCCATTCCTTCATCTGAAAGAAAACACAAGAGATTCCTCTACATTTTCCATGATACTTGTGTCAAATTGATAATTTCTAAAATTGAAAGATCTGAAGCCAATCGTGTGAAAAAACTCTTTAATGAAACTGAAGAGGAGGATGCAAGAAAGAGACAAGCAGAATTATCTTCTCAAAGATATGACCAAGAAAAAGATGATGAATTACATCCAACATGGCAAATTACTGGTCTTACAAGTCATCAACATTGTATTTTGAGATTTATTGAAAGTGTCTTACCATTATGCTTTGTTGCTCCTGATTGTGACAGTTATGGAGAAGGAGAACCATTCGATGAGGCCATGTACGGTCATTCTGTAGATTCATACGATCTTTTACGTTTGTATCCTTCCATTATGGAAAGAGTATTCGAAATGATTGCTCCAGATGATGAATCTGATGAAGATCTTTCAAAGGAACTTTTAATGATGATGTTGGGAAAGGCCTGTGAAAAGAAAAAGGCCAGTGCAAGTCATGCAAACAATACTCGTGATCCTAATTACCAAAATCTTGTCAATTGTATTGGTCCAATCGTTTTTGATCCAAATCATCATTAGAAGATTAAATTCTGAATTAAAAAAAACCTTTAAGAAATAAATTAAGGGTTTATTTACATTCACTAGTTACTATTTCTTGAAAAATGAAGAAATGCTGGTTTGTTTCTTCTTCTTAGATGGTGTTTCATTGGCAGATTGATTGGCTGATTCTTCACTTGTTCTTTTAGCAACTCTTTTGGACAGTCTAGTTTCCATCTTGACTTGCTTAATTTCATCTTTGACTTTCTCTTTTACTTCCTGTTTACTTATCCTCACAACTTCATCATCCTTCATTACTTCTTCATCAGAACTAGATGATTCTGAATTTTCTTCCTTTGTCTCTGCACTTGTTGATTTGAATGGAGATTTAGTCTTGAATCTGACCTTTGGAGGAGTGATTGGTGAAGCATCTTGATTCTTGAAAGTCTTTTTGAATTGTTTGAAAATCTTTGAGGCAACAGTTGAAATACCTTGGCTCTTTCTTTGTGAGTTTGCAAACCACTTCCATTGATCTTCTTCACTGTTTGAATCTTCCAAATCCTTTATCAGATACTTGTCACTGCAACTGTAAATATGATTTGTCTGATTGATATGAGTAAATACATGATCCACACTGGCATGATATTCGAAAGGTATCGACTTGTCTTGAACAAATCCCTCCTTCACAAGAAATTCTTTCAGTTTGATAAAATGTTCTGATTCAGATGAGGAGGCTGCTGCTTTTGTTGTTGCCTTAGTCTTTTTGGCTTGCTTTTTTGGTTTCTTCTTTTTAGATCCCTCTTCATCCTCACTATCTTCTTCATTTTCTTCTTCCTCTGCTTTGGTATCTTGAATGATAACAAATGGAAAATGCCACGTTCCACCCAATAGAGTCTCCTTTGGTCGTTTTTCAAAGAGGCAACTATCAACATCTCCCTCCTTATAGAAAATGCAACATGAAACAACTTGAGTTCTCTTTTTGGTCTTTTTGTTTTTCACTGGATAAATTTCAACAGTGGCAATTTCCTCCTTTTCCAATGCCTTATTTGCCTCACAAACCTCAGCAAGAGGACATTCTGTACATTTAGGATTTCTTGGAATGCATACTGTTCTTCCCAGCTCCATAACAGCCTGATTAAAATCTCCAGTCACATTGTATCTATGTTTGAGTTCCAAATCTTCCTTCTCCAGCACTGTATCTTCAATATCTCTATAGTGTTGAATTAAATTGTCTGCCATTGGCCAAAATACAGTATTGGCTGTCTTGTTAACTGCAATATCTTCCTCAATCCTCTTTAATCTGGCAAATACACGAAAAACATTACCATCCACCACAGAGGCAGTCCTTGAAAATGCAATGGAAGCGATAGCTCCAGCAGTATACCTTCCAACACCTGGTAATTGCATTAAATCCTTCACATTGTCTGGTAATTTGTAAATGATTCGTTTCTTTTCCTCATCATCATCTTCATCATCGGATATTATTTCCTCGTTTTTAATTGGTTTGTTAATCTTTTCCACTATATACTTTGCAGCATTGTACAAATATCTGGCTCTTCTGTAATATCCTATTATAATATTAATATTAATATAAATTAATTTTCCAAAGAGTTTCAATTTTAATATATTTAATATTATTGGCAATAATTAAATAGTTAAATATATATTCAAATTAATATTGATAAATCATTGAATAAAACTTACCAAGACCACTCCAAATTCCAACAGCATCATCAACAGTAGCATCAGCCAAATCCTTAACTGTCGGAAATCTTTTCATCCACTTGAGAAAGTAAGTCTTGACTGTTTCTACCTGAGTTTGCTGCAACATAATCTCACTCACCAGCACTTCATAGGCTCTCTGATGAAGTTCTTCCGTAGCCTTTACATCATCATCTTCATCATCGGCACTTTTAATTGTTTTTCTCCAAGGTAAATCCTTCTTATTATTATCGTACCAATTGATTAAATTCCTCCAGATGTGTCCTCTCTCATCATGAGAAAAAAGAAAACTCTTTGCACAGGAAACTCTCTTGGTTGGTGATGAAGAATTTTCATTATCAACAACAGCAACAGATTTACTTTTTTTTGGCGGCATTTTTTTTCAAATTTTAAGTTTGAGTAACGGTTAGTTGGGAAGGATTCTTTGATGAAATAATTGAAATCGAGCATTATTCTGGTTATGCTTGAACAATTCATTACATTGAAAAGGTAAGTAGTATTTGCTTATTGTATATATTGTGTTTGATTGTAAAACCATGTGATTTACGTTGCCAAATAAATAATAGAGCTTTAGTTTCCACCAAATAACAGCAATTAATTCAATTCTTAAAGAGATACATGCCGATAAGATGTATTACAGTGTGAAAGAGCTGTTGAAGAATTTTCATATTTAAAAAATATCCTCAATTAACCTTAAAGAAACTCACAAAAATGATCGTTGAAACAAAAGAGCAAGATGAAACTCTAACTAACTGCTGTTTTTCCATTAAGGAAAATTATCCTATGATGGGAATGCAATCATCGGTATCTTCAATTGAATTATTGAATGATTCATTGGCTGATAATTCACTTCTTATCAGTGAATTAAGAAAGCAATTGGAAAATGCTCATCATCAGATTGTGCTACTCCAAAGGGAGTTTGAAATTCATCTTCTCCAAGTGCACCATCAACATGAAATTGAATTACTCAAAAAGGATCACACTATTGAATTGTTACAAAGAGATTTGGAATATCATTCAGGTATTAGAAAGGTTGCTACAACAAGTGAAATTGATCAGATTAAAAATGGTGATTATAGCAAACAATCAGATGATGATAATTCCAGAACCAATGCAAAGGATGGAATTGATGAATTGACTCAGGATATTGTAACCTTACAACAACACATTCATAAACTCTTAAAGAATGAATAAGGACCTATCAATTTGATTCAATTTTCCAACACAGTTTGCTTAATGTGCGCTTCTATTTATGATTCCAAACAGAACACGTGTTTCAGATTGACCTCTATCAAAAATTCACAATCCTATAATTCAATCATTTTCAAAGATTACAGAAAGTATAAATAGTTAATCTGTCAAGTAGCAATGTAATTCACAAAAAAATACCTCCTTAATAAATCAATTGAATAGAATAAAATGTGGTGCTTTCTTGCTGGATTTGCAAGTGGCTTGTACGTATACAAGAATTACGATGTTGAAAGAATCGTCAAGGATTACAAACCAAAGTTTATGAACAATGAAAATGAACAACATTCAGAAGATTGTGGTGTTTGGAAACAATTTAAAAATTTTCAGAAGGAATACAGAAGGCCAAGCAATATTAATACTGAAAAATAATAGTAATTTGAAAAGTGCCCACAATCCTTATAATATCCATAGTGTTAAATTGCAATAGTTTGAAATGAACAATAAATAGAAATAGGTTAATATCTCAATAATACATATTGAGCTCGCATAATTAAAAGCAACAGCAACATAATCTAAACAACAGAAAAATGTAAATTTCAATCACTGACAATTATTACATACTTTGAAAGTATAGTTCCAAAGAATCCTCTTCTTGGTCTATCTTCACTATAATAGAGAGGTTCCCTCATCATGATTGTTGGGTTTTGCTTCTTTTCATTTCGATTCTTTTCAACTGGTGGCAACTCTTCATCCTCATACATGTAAATCAACTTTCTGAAACAAACAGGACATTCATTCGAACGTTGTTTCCACTCCTCACTACATTGAAAATGAAATCCATGAGAGCACTTGCACAATATCTGAGGATTATCCCTCGTATACAACTCCAAACAAATTGGACAAATGTCAGCCTCATCTTCCTCCTCAAAAACCTCCTCAAACAATTTGGGATATTGTATCTTGAGCTTTTCTATTCGCTTTTGCTTTTCTAGAGAAGATGAATCCTTACTCTGATCCACCACCAAATTGACAAATGTTGCTGCTTCCTGTTGATGGTGATGAAAAGAATTAGAATGAAGATCTAATGAAGGTGACGAAGGATTAGAATGAATAACAGTATTACTAGAGGGTGATGATGAATTATCCAGTAAATTGGTTCTACTCTGCTTTTTCATTAACAACTTTCCAATCATTTTCTCAGACGATTAATAAATTAATAATTACTAATATAAAGTTACTACTACAAATATTTGTTGTCGTTGTTTTAATATATTGCTGATGTGTGTTCTATTATTTACAAGAAGAAGATTGAATAAATTCCATGGAGAGAAAAATTGTCAATGAACGTTTAAACTTTTTTTTTCAATTTGCGAGCTAAAAATAGTAAATCAACATCTTTGAGAGATTTATTGGTCTTGCAAGTTTTTGAATTGTAAAGCAAAATCAAAATATGGACTCTGTCAAATGCAATTTTATGGAAGAAACATCAATGGTAATGTTTATACAAAAGAGATTTAAATTTCTTGTTCACTAAGGAGCTCAATAGAGATACGAAACTCTTTTTAAAACAAAAATTGAGGAAAAGAATGAAAGTTTGTTAGGTTTTAAATTGAAAATCCAATTTCTGCAAAGATATAGATGTATCATTTTGCATAAAAACAATAGATCTGTTGATATTTTTAATATTTTCTATAGTTTCGAATAAACTTTTGTGGAAATGCTTTGGAACTACATTCAACCAGATCTATCATTCTCTTCCGAAACACTCCTTTCCTATATTTCCAAGATAAGAAAACATTCTCGTAATTCAACTTGTCAAAAACCCAAAAAGTCCACTCTAGAAAAATTCGTCCACTTTCGTCCAACTTCACAACGGCAACATTTAAGCAATAACACAAAAAAAAAAATGTCCAAATACACACGAGAAGACTTTGACTTTCTCAAACAACTCGGCAAGGGAGCCTACAGCGAAGTTTTCCTAACCAAATACAAGAAATCCGGCACACACTACGCCACAAAAGTCATCAAGAAGGATTTCGTCATTAAGGAGAAGAAAATCAATACGGTCAAGATGGAGAAGGAAGTTCTCAACATGTTGAGTCATCCGAATATAATTTCATTGTTTTGTACCTATCAGGATAAGGATCATTTGTGTAGGTTGTTGTTTTTTTCAAAGGCTTTGTGATATTTATTCATATATTTAATATTTAATATATTATTTAATATATTATTTAATAATTTTAATGATGATGATGGTAATGATGAAACTCTGGCGGATGAATATACATGTTTATAATACCGATCAAAAAACTATTATATATGATTTTTTGTTTTTGCGTGGATGATGGAATAACCAAATATGAATATTTTCATCATCATCATCAACATTATAACAACTTTTTGATTTTTATTACAATATAATACTATATAATACTCTTTAATATTATAATAATTATTACGTTCATCATCATATCATCATATATAAATTAAATATATAACTTAACGTCATACTTTGAAAAAAACAGATTTTGTGTTGGAATTGGCTCCTGGAGGCGAATTAGCAGGAATAATAGAAAAGTATGGACCACTTTCGTTAGATGCTTCACGATTCTATATGGCCGAATTGATAATGGGTCTTGAACATATACACTCGAAGAATATATTGCACAGAGATTTAAAAGTAGGTTTCTTCTAGTTTCGTATATTGATTCTAATATGCAATTGTTGAAAACTAGCCGGAAAATTTAATTTTGAGTGAAGATTTACATTTGAAAATAACAGATTTTGGTACTGCCAAGATTTTAAAGTTGACAAAACCACTAACATCTGATGGCGAAGAATTTGAAGAACCAGTTCTTTATGTGAAAGGTACTTTTGTTGGTACAGCTCACTATGTTTCTCCAGAAATTCTTAAAGATTTGCCACAATCTGAAAGTTCAGATATTTGGGCACTTGGCTGTATTTTATATAATTTTTTGACTGGTAAACAATTATTCGATGGAGAGTCACAATATTTAATTTTCCAAAAGATTACAGCAATAGAAAGAGAAGGATTGATAATTGACGATGAAGAAGATTTGGATCCAGTTGCAGTTGATTTTATAAGACAAGTTTGTGCATTTGAAGCAGAAAATAGATTAGGAAGTAGACAAAGAGGAGGAATGAGCTCTCTCAAACAACATCCATTCTTTGAGGGAATTAATTTTGATGTTCTCCAACAAATGGTTCCACCACTCATTAATGAAAGATATGCAGGTCCTAATCTTTCATTTATCAATGGATCTCATGTCTCAAATGACAGTATTGATACCAATGTAAGAAATTTCCGCTCTTCAGTGAGCACTGCATCTTCATCTTCTCCTTCACCAACTACTTCTGGCATTGTTCTGGATGGAAATTTGAGAAGCACAATATCGGGAGCTTCTAGTAGTGATTTGACAGTCTCTTTAAATGATAGATGGAGTAAATTCTTGATGAAGAATGAAAATGTTGTCTATACTGCATTGGTCATTAAGAGAAGAAGATTCACTGCCAAGAAGAGACAACTCATACTGACGGATAAACCTCGTATCCTCTATATTGACCCAGAAAAGATGATTGTAAAGGGTATCATACCATGGAGTAATGAATTATATGTTGTTAAGAAAAATTCGAGAGAGTTCCACATTCAAACAGTAAGTATATTGTAATAGTTTTATTGGAATATTCACATAATAATAGCCTGGAAGAACATATCAACTCGAAGATTTGAGTAATGGAGTAGATGCTTGGTATGATAAGGTTGAGGAAGTGAAAGAACAACAAAAATCTAAACGAATGTAACCTAATTAAATATAATACTTTAAAATATAATAGTATTTCTAGTAATTTTGGATTTGGAATTGGTGGAACAATTAGTTTGTGGAAATATATATTGAATGAAAAATTGTTGAATATCAAGTTAGGATTTATAATATTAGTGAGAGAGAAATTCAATCCATCTCAATGGATGCACTGAAGGAAAGAGGAGATTATCCACTCGCACACTTTCATACTTTTGTACAAGACGAGAGCATTTCACTGCAAGTCGTTCCTCTCCTGGTCTTCCACTCACATTTTCATATTGAAATCCTCTTCCAAAGAGAGTTGCAATGATATATTCCAATCGAATGAGATCGCCTCTGATGTACAAGTGTTTCTTCTCAGTCGTTGCAATATGATTTTCATTGAGTAGCACCAAACAACATTCAATGTATGAAATCAAATCACCTCTTGAAATGATTGGCAGTCTCATGTCGCCATCTCCATAGTATTTTACAATATGCAAAGTAGTATTTATGTCATTAATGAAGAATGAATCTCTGTCAGTGATCAGATCTTCATAGAAGAATGGAGCATGAATAGTGATCACATCCATCAATCCATTCAATTGACCATTTCTTAGAATTTTCTCCAGTGAATTGGTTGATCTAGTCAGTAACGAATCTTGTAATGACACAATTCTAATGATTGATAAGTGATTCGTGCTCGTGTTGAGAATTAGTTGCAGTACTTGTTCGTGCTGAGTGTTCAATTCAATACTCGTTACAATTATTGTCGTAATAGATTTAACTATTTGTTCATAATCATCAGATTCTCCAGCAACCATTGCAGAGGATCCTAATCTGGCCTGTAAATTGTTTCTAATGGGAGCATTATTGCCCAGTAAGAGTGTTCTTGTGTTTTGCATTTTCTTTATGTTTGAAAATTGCATTCTTGGAACAAATTCTTAAATAATTTTGGCAATGCACAAATTATTGGGTCGAAGGATGGATGCGTTTAATTGAAATTCCAAATGAAATATCATTGTAAATTGAAAGAGCAGAATTTCCTGGTTGTGAACTTAATCCATTCGCAATTTGACCTTCCTTATCATCGGTCCGATTTTGTTATTTTCTCCATTTTTGTTCCATCTTGAAGAAGTATGTTTTAATTAAAGCTTTTTGTTAATGGTTTGAATATTTATTACAAAAACTAATTAACATGAATACAACCATTACAAAAAAAAGAAGTATTACATCATACAAATGATGAAATTAATACTTCAAATTGACCCATTGATCAGCTGGGATCACTTGAGTCTTGTCAGCTTCAAGCAAATGCTTGGATTTGTCATGGAAACGATTGGCACGAGCAACAATTCCCCAATCATTATTTCTGACACCTTGTTTAATCATTTCAGCATTGGCCTTTCTTGAGATTGCCTCACGAATGTAGAATGGTTGATTTGGAACAAAGTGGTGAATAATGTGTGAGGATCCAAAGTTGAAACTGAATAATTGGAATGGAATCATGGACCAGTGATCAATAACTTGTCCTGTTCACAATTAGATTCGAATAAAGTAAATAATGAAAAGTTATTGGAATGTTATGAAAATAAAAGAATACAAACCTTGATAGAAAACATCACCTTCTGGAACATCTCCATAATAGTGACAATAACTGGCCATCAAATTCAAACAAGTTTGTCTAACAAGATTTGGTAAAACAATAATAACACTCAAATCTCTAACTAAAGGCCAGAAAGCAATTGGCAAGTAGGTGGACAAGAAGGTAAAACCACCAAACATGAACAAGTACGCAGTGAATACAAACCAGAGAACAGTGAAACCAATCATGGAAGGTGCATTGGTGAGTAGAGCAAGAAAGACACTGAAATCTTGTGGATTATCCCTCTTGACATCTGTAATTGCTAAAAAGACAGCCCATGGACTGGTAGTGAGCAAGTATCTCAAAAAGCCAGCTTCCAAACCGCCACCAATAGCTCTTTCTTCAAAGTCTCTCTTGGAACCAGAAGTTACGTGATGACGAAGATGGACATACTTTCTGTACCATGGCAAAGCATGACATTTGGCAAGATAAATGAAAAAGTACATAACATGTTGAACCCATTGGTGAGTCTTAAAGTACAAATTGTGAATCAAATCATGCTCCAATTCATGCAAGACAGAAATTGGAAGAGCAAGCAAAGGAACAGCAAGAGCCCAATGAAGATTTCCCTTCAAATACAAGGCAGAAACACCAACAATAGTCAAAAGACTTGTCAAAAAGATGGTCAATCCTAACAAATCTTGATATTGAAGGAAAGAATGTCTCTTTCTCAAACGAGCTTCTTCATTCTTGATGGTATTTCTAATAGACTTGACAGCCAAACGAGTATCCTTCTCAGAAAGGAAGAGTTGATTCTCATCAGCATATTTAACCTTTCTCAAGTACTCCTCTGTTGGTTCATAAGTTGCCTTGATAATAAGTTTGTTACTATTATTGCTAGTAGTAGTAACATTCTTCATAATCAATTCATCATTAACAGCAGGTTGCTTTCTAAGAGCAGCAGCAGCATTGCTACCAGTATTATCATTGGAAATATCTTCCATTAATGTAAGAACAGTGGTGGAAGTAGTCATGATATTTTTTTTTTCTATTGTTGTTGAATATTTCGAAAGGTTTGTGTTGGGTTACATTGATTGGTATGAGCTCATTGTGGTCATGCCTTCGAAGAAAATCCGGCACCGCAGTACTGTGCTAAACTACACAGTAAAACAATACAACTTGCTTATCATGCGAGAGTTAAGATTCAACTTGCCTTTTGGAGTGCAAAAAGAGCGGCAAATTATTTTTTTATGTACGGTGGTTTAAAAAAGCCATAAAATTCCTTCTGGCGAAAAGGAAGCAAGGAAGAAAAAGGAATATTGAATAGAATATTCAATTACAATATTTTATTATTCCTTTGGTGGTGGGTACAACAGTTTAAACGAATTAGCTCAAAATTTGGTTGTTACCATTGTTGCAAAATTGTAAAACGTATTGAAATTGCATATTTTAATGTAATGGATGGCTACGGCCATATCACGATGAATGCACCTCATCCCGTCCGATTTGAGAAGTTAAGCATCGTCGAGCCACATCAGTACTGAGGTTGGAGACAACTTGGGAACCTGTGGTGCTGTAGTCTTTTTGCAGTTTAGTATGAAATGCATTTTCAAAATTTTTTTGAGGTGGACTATTTCAGTAAAAAATGAGGATCAAGCCGAGATTATTTTTTCAATAATTATACTTATTCAATACCTAAAAATTTGCCCATTTACGTAAATACATGCATGAAACTGATTTCTAAAATAGTAAGAGCAGAGTGCATACAGCTATCTAAAAATTTACTTCTGACTGCGTCGACCGCAACGCCGTATTCTACCACTAAACCATCGACGCTTCACATTCATTCTTTACACTCTTCATCGAGAACTAAAGTTATTGAATAGTTGAACTGTTACAAAATCAATTTCAAAATCGACAACAGTCACAAACAAAGTTAAAAAAATCACAACAATGATCACCTCCAACAATTTCTCCACCAAAAAACACTCGAATTGTCCCACCTCTTTCTTTCAAGTTGATGATTTCCACAAGAAACATTCAACTTTTAATACCTATCCCTATGATCCCTCTCAATTCCGAAATCAATATGATGATTGTCTAGAAAAGGCTGATTATAAGAAAATTAAAAGGCTCCGAATACTTGTTCAGAGACAAACGATTGATATTTGTAGGGATCAATACTATTTGTACAATTTTAAAAATCATAGAAATTCTAAAAATCGAATTGATGATGATGAAATTGTAGAAAAGGTTTCATTGAAGGAAGAGTTGATGATTCAGTCGAGTGTTGGAACACTGTTTATTAGAAATGAGGGGCAGGTGATTCCTACATTGAATTCTTCTGATAATAGTATTCAGGAAAAGACTAGAGTTTTGGTAATTAATGGAGATTGTGTGGATGTTGCATTCAAGATCCAGGATGAATTGGTAAAGAGTGGAAAGATGCAAAATGAGAGAGTAGCCATTCTCAATATGGCCAATCCAAATACTCCTGGAGGTGGTTATCAATCAGGTTGTAAGTAGTTTAATAACCAAGTTATTTGAATGAAAATAGGTGGAGCTCAGGAGGAAAATCTATTCAGAAGATCTAACTTGTATCAATGTTTGGATAATAAGGTTGATCAATTGGATAAACATAGAAAGTGGAGCTATCCTATTGGGCATGAGAGTGCATGCTTCTCACCAAATGTATTGTTTTTCAGAGGGTGCGAAGCAAAAGGTTATCCACTCTTGCAAGTTCCAAGATTATTGGATGTCATTACTGCAGCTGCTGTACCAAACAAATCGAAAAATACAGAAAAAATTGATGGACGAAACAATGGAACTATTGAGGCAATATTCAAGGTGGCCATTTTGAATGGTGTTAGAAATTTGGTATTGTCTGCGTTTGGATGTGGGGCCTTTAAGAATAACCCTAATCAGATGGCAAAAGCTTTTAAAACTCAACTGGAAAAGTATGAAGGTTATTTCGATAGAATTTACTTTGCCATTATTGAAGATCACAACTCAAAGAAAGGTCATAATCCAGATGGAAACATTGAGCCATTTCTCAATGTATTTAAAGATTATTTGGATGACAGTCAGAGGGAGGAAGATTTTACCGATTCTCAGTATATCTATAGCTATGAGAATGTTGATGATTATTATGAAAATTACTATAGCAATCTTTAAAAATACACAACCAGCTCTCAATTGCTTTCTTAAACAATTGAGTGGTTAATTATTAGCCAATTTAGGTTGATTACAACTGATAGACATCAAACCAAACACCTCTTCATAATTTTCTACAAAAGCAACCAAACATCAGTAGAAATCACAACAACACATCATAATTTGATAGTTATCGAAAGATATCAAGTACTCTCCATCTTACAACTCGTGATGTGTTGTCAATTACATGTGGATAAATTCACTCAACATACATCATCTTTTTGGTCAGCATGTAGAGAGAACTTAAATATTCTGGGCAAGCTCATTAATTTGGAACAAATGTGATACATTTTTGACCCTTCTGCATTAGAGCATCTATCTCTATCTCAGTTGGTGTGTACTGGCCGTGTTGGGGAAATAGTGGCAGTGCTCTGTGGTGATGTTCAATTTCGAATAACAAAGAAAAAACACCAATGTCCAGCAAACAAAAGCTAGTTCCTATCAAACCAACAACTAATGATAATGATGGAGATGAGGTCGCCAATCAAAACACACACTCCTTGGCAACACTAAACAAACGCAATGTCAGCTCTTCAAAATTCAATTCGAAACCAAACTTACAAGCAAAGCTACAACACAACAATTCCAGAGGTATAAGCTCTCGAATGTTGAGCAAACTAAACAAGACCAACAGTACAATCAGTAATAGTTCCAGTATTGCGTCAACATCCAACTATTCGAGCACTTATAAATCATCCGAATACAGTACTGATAGCACTTCAGAGGCAGAGAGAAATGAAATGGAAGAGGAGGCATTTGTAATTACAACTCTTGAGGAATACTCATTACTGAACGATTTGGTAGAACAGTTTCAGTCGTGTGGTTGTCCAATTATTGTATTCGATAGCAATCTCACTATTGAATATCTTAATAATCAGGCAGAGGAAGTGTTTGGATTTTATTCTCTGGCAGTCATGGGAGAATATTTGAGTGAGTTATTATCTCATGAATCAACCATGGAAATCAAGAGAGCCATTGAAGATTTCATTGGTGATACATCATTGGATTTGAACATGTCAGTGAGCTTGTCAACATCTATGAAAGATTTGAAAATTCCATATGTACTTGTGAGTCAACAAGAAAAGGAACGAAGAAAGAAAGAAGTCATGAAAACACGATTCCTAAATGGAAAAAACACTTTACAAAAGAAAGCATTCCCAATCAAGTTGAAAATGATGGTTTTTAGAAAATTAGAACAACTTCACTTTGCTGCCTACATTAACCAATTAGAACAAAGTGAGGAAGATATCAAGAAATTGGCATCTATTCAATTTGGAGAAGCCATTACAGAGATTTCAGTCATTCCAATTATTTCCATCAATGAACAGGGAACTATTCAAATATTCAATTCGGCATCCACTGCCACATTTCACTATTCTAAAAAGGAAGTCATTGGAAAGAATGTTAAAATGTTGTGCACACCTAAAATTCGAATGAACCATGATGATTTCCTGAAGAGATACTTGACAACCGGAGAGAAACGAGTCGTAGATTGTGTTAGATCTGTGAAAGGTCAAACTAAAGAGGGAAAACCCATTCCAATTGAATTGAGAGTTTCAGAAATTATTGATCCAATCAGTAAGAAATCATCTTTTGTTGCATTTGTGAGAGATACCAAATCAATGGTTACACATGAGGAGCAAATTACTAAAATTACGGAAAAGATCTTTCCAAAGAATATTGTTCATCGGTTGACTGCAGGAGAGAAGGTCATTGATGAGTTACAGAATTGCACAATGATGTATTGTGATATTGTGGGTTTTACAGAGCTTGCCAATGGAAAATCACCTTCAATTGTTGTACATATGTTGCATGATATTTTCTCATGCTTTGATGATATTGTTTATTCGAAACAACATAATTCAACACTGGAAAAGATCAAGACTATTGGTGATTGTTATTTTGTTGCTTCTGGATTGGATAATGATTCATCCACTAATAATAAGAAACAAATTTCCAAGACAAATTCCAATGTAAATAACATGTTAACCTCACCCACAAATGAAATACCAAGTACCAATGGAACAATGTGTTGCGTTCGAGCAGGATTGTCAATGATTCAAGAATTGGAACAATTGGTTTCGAAAAATTCAGATCTGATTGGAGATTCTTCATTACAGGTTAGAATTGGTATTCACACCTCACATAGAGGAGTGACAGCAGCTGTAGTTGGACATATGAAGAGAACATATGACTTGTTTGGAAGTGATGTTTTGGTAACACAATTAATAGAAGCAACAGGTCAACCAGGACAAGTTCATTTGAGTGAAACATCTTTTAATGCCATCAAATCGAATGAAAAACTTTCATTTCTTTTCACACCAAGATATAGAGCCAATCAGGAAATATATTTGGAAAAACAAGGAGTCTGCAAATTGCCCATGAATACCTATGTTTCTGATTTACAATGAAAATTGGAATTTATTAACATCTTGATTTTTTCTTGAAACAAAACAACTCATACAAGGAGACAACAACATTATCTTAACATTCTTAAGAAGGATGAATCAATTATTTTGGTTTTCTTTGTTTTATCCTCACATGACCAACACAATATTTGATTGTAAGATGCACCAATTAGTAGGGAAGATTCTGGACCATATGTTAAATAGGTATTTTTTGGTGTTTTCAAAAAACAAGCTTGATATTTGTTTTTTTGAGATTGGTCAAAACCATCCCACAATTGAATATAAAAACACTCCTTATATGATGTTATAATATCCTTTCCTGACCAAACGAGAGAGGAAATTGCTCTACGTGTGTCAATAGTATGCAAATTTGATGAAAGATTACCTGTTGAAATATCCCAAAATAAAACTCTTCCTTCTCTATTCATTGCAGTTGATAGAATGTTGCTTGTTGTCCAAGCCATGCTTTCAACAACACTAGGATGTTTGTAGATGCTTAATGGCTTGTTATAGGATCTTTCATCCCAAACATTAACACAATTATTTGTTGAACCACTTGCTAACAGGCCATTTGAGGATCGTTCTAAACAAGTTATTTCTCCATTCTGGTGATAACTTGAAATTGGTCTATTCTTTATTCTTTTATCAT